TGAAAGATTTGCATATTAGATTAAATCTTACCAAACTATTAGAATATTTAATATATTTTTTAAAAAACAATCTTATAATAAAATCTTATCAAATTATTAGGAGATCTGCATAAAAATAAATCTTACCAAACTATTGAAAGATTTTATTGATTATTTCTTTAAATAAAATTTAAATGAATTCGATGATGGAGCCTCTTTAGGATGGGATACTAATCTCCATGAATACTCATGAGGTGAGAGAATTATCTTAAATTGCTACCAAAACTATTGGAGTAATTTTATGATTAATTTTTAATATTAAATATTTTGGTAAATCATAAATATGGTTATGGCTTAGATATTTTGAAATCAAGCTAGTACCATCATTTGAATAGGCAATGTGAGAGTGCTATAACTTTTTCATGCATAACCGTACTCCTGAATCTAAAATCTGATTTCGTAGACTAAAATCTATTATTTAAAGATACCTAAGTTAATCTTGGAATTGCTCTTTAAATAGGATAAATTTTATCAGGTGGCCAATCACACCTAAACAAAAAAAATTGGTGGTGATTGTTTTAATTCATATCTAATGGTAAGTCCATGGATCTATATGTTATGACAAGTAAAAAAAAAGACAAAGGTATCAATATTGATGTTGAAATCCTTTACTTCTTCATCACCTTTACCTTTCTTTTCGACCTGGTTGGACCTCTTAGCCTGTTCAGATTCTTGAACCTACTAGTCTTAGAAGTTTTCTTATTAGTTTGCTTAATTGTGAGACAAGAATATCTTTAAACTTGGTTAAGACTAAAGACCTCCACAACTTAGAAAAAGATGAGTTTGACTTCAAAATAAAAGACTCTTTTAAATCAAATGGTGATCCAAAATCAGAGTTTGAGACTTAATTTATAATGGCTTGGGCATTAAGAAGGATCATTAAGGTTTAATAAAGAGAAAGTTTGATAGAAGAAGAATATGGCGGAGGAATTAAGAAGGAAATCGTCGAAAAAGGGAAATGAAAATCAAACAGAGGAGCTAAACTAACCACATTTATGGGAACATAGGGATTCTGAAGATTGAAATCTATTGCCACTTAGAGCTCATCCATCCCATAGAGAACCTTTTCACCTCTTCATTTAGGTATTCTCTTCAATCTATTTTTTGCCTTCCATAGACATTGGGTTTAACTAGTAGGTAGCTCGATTAAAGTCTCTTCTTGTAATAGTAAAAGGAACATCATTATCTGAAGGAACCTTTACATTGCCCTGGCCAAGCTAACCCTTCCTAACCTCTACCCTAAAGATAGATAAGTCGGCACTAGAAGACATATTAAAAAGTTAAGAGACATATCGAGGTAATTAAAAGGGAAAGGGATGATTGGAAAAAGATAGTTAGAAAAACTTATGAGGTCGACAAAGGAATAGGTTGGCATGAGAATACGAAAGCAAGAAAATGTTAGAAATGTTAGAAATGTGAGGAAATGAGGGTTTCAAGAGTGTTTTATATAGGCAAAGGCAAGATCGGATGAGTGGTCTAGATTAAGACGCGCCACTATATGCAAAACAAGGATGGCCTTTCAACTTCTTTGTTCAAATTTAAAGACCCATTTCTGCCTAAATTTCTTTTATTCATTAAGTGCTAGTTCAAATAAATCAACAACCAATTTGTCCAAAAGTTATTCCAAGTGTCACGTTGATTATACTGCATAGGCAATAAAAAGGAAAGCTTTAGGTCAAAAAGCCAACACCATTTAAGCATAGATTTCATAAAATATCATGTCGAACTTACCATGAAGACTATCTCATCACCCTTATTTAAAAAATTTTATGAAATCCACACTTAACTCTTAGTTTGGCTTTACAAATAATTGATTGACCAAATTAGCCTTTTAGTCATCTGACACCTCAAACTACTTGACAGAGGGGACAAATTGCTAAGGGCATTTTATGATCATGAGAGTAGTATGAACATATTCCCTTAGAGGGAGATTTATCAAAAAAGTAAGGGCAATTTTGTCATTAGGACCCGAGATGACGTGGTACACCAACTTGAATTCTTAGAGTCCATGTCAGCTCGGCTCGCTCGACCTTTCATCTAAAGGCACATGGGAATGCTGACTCGTCACCTCTCAATTGGATTGACACTTGCTAGGTTAGGTTAGGTTAGGCCAACATTGTCAGCCCTAGACTTGACTTTTAGAGCTCGGGTCACCTAAGTTTGACACTTTCACCCTACAAGTATAAATAGTCCCTCTCACACTAGATATATGGACATTCGATTTCCTTTTCTCTTCTTAAGATTTCTATGTTTCTCTCTTTTCTCAAGCATTGACTTGTGCATTGGAGCATAAGTGTCAAAAAATCCTCTAGCTTTTTCTTTTGATCTCTGGCCTTATGATTTCAAGTTTTTTACTTCATCAAGATAGTTAGGCACAAACAAAATTCTATCTAAGATTTTTAAATTCCTTTTTTTAAATCTAAAAAATCCAAAAAAACTGAAAGAGATAAAATTTTAAAAAATTTCTTTTTATAAAACTTTAAAAAATTTCAGGCAAAGCAAGGGTAGCATTCTAATATGAAAACACACCCGGTAGCGGGTACATGAATCCTTTTGCTCTTTGAATAAAATTGTGATTTTTTTCTGAATTAAAAAAAAAAAGAAAAGGAAAATGAGACGAGACGAGCACCGTTATGTCTTTAATGTTGGACAAGAAACTCCAGGCTGTCTTTTTTACCTTTTACTTAAAGAACATGTATACCCAGTTGTCCACAAACTACAAAAAGAGCTTCATAGTTGTGCCTTTCTATGAGAACGTGGTCCTGCATGTCACAGTATCTCGTTTTCCCCTTTTTTATTTCCTTCAGTGATGGAGATATATTTACTCGTGACCAAACTTAACATAAGAAGTGATGCGTGTGCCAATAACAATATGCATGCTCTATTTATGATGTAAAAAATGTAAGAATATTACATTAAAAAATAATGTAAGAATGTTACTATAAGTAATATAGTAATTATCTTTGAAGAGTGCTATTAAGGCATGTGTTAGCAAAGTCCAATATATATTTCTAATTATGATATTTGAAATTACTTAATTTTGGTTATTTGATTTGATATATAAATATTGTTTAAAATTCATGATCATAAATTTTTTTTAAAAAAAGTAGTAAATTAAGACATATTTAATACAATTAGTAGATTTTCCAGCTTCCACTAAATATCAAACCTTCTCCTACAAAAAAAAAAAAAAATTTAATGCCTACCCCATTAGTACCCTATCAAATATGGAAATATATATTTCAAAAAATAACTTTAAATGGGATAAATAACTACATATATGTTTGTTTTTGGGAAAATATCCTAAATTATTTTATAAGAGTGTAAATTACAATATATCCTATTTTACATGTGTGTTTTGTTATTTTATTAATTTATTGTTTTATATAATTCTAAACGAAACCTTAGTAACTGAAAGAAACTTCTAAGTCTTACGGTTTCAAAATTACTTGACATGACTCATGTTTAGATGCAAAACTTAAAAACTTGAAAAGGCATTGATAGATTGATCAAACCTTGCAAAGCCAATATTCTTCTTGGAAAGCTCAAAGAATTTAAACCAAATTTAATTAAGTACTAATTTACAATGAAATATGAATTATTCTTGCATAATTTTTATAAGGAAATTTGAGTTCAACTCATTTGATACATATATTAATTATTTTGGTTCATAAAAGATTGTAGTTAAAAATAAAAAATATTTAAATATTTAAATTTAAATCGTAAATTTATTAAATATTAATTTTAAAAAAATTATATAAATTAATTAATTTAAAATTTAAAATTTTATATATATATCAATTATTAAATCAAATGAGAGGGTGTAATTAATTATTGCTCTCGCATTCATCTTTCATCCATCTATTATTAACGAAAAAATTTTTTATACACAAATTTCAAAACACCAAGAGCAAGAAGAAACGAATATTTGTGATTCTGAAGCTGTCACGAAGACTTCAATGGGATGGGAATGGCCAATGGGAGGTTGGAAATTATAAATTGAAAATTGGAAAGTGGAAATTGGAAATTGGAAATTGGAAATTGGAAATTGGCATATGGTAATTTACAGTTGTGTGCAGTTAACGCTGAGATGCTGAAAAGAGGTTGAGACTTGAGAGAACAAACAAATTAAAAGGCCAAGCTTGAACCACGTAAGACAAAGAGCACCAACGAAGCAGGCAGCACCTACATCTCCCTAAGCACAAACTTGAGGCACAAACACAACCAACGTTCTCTCGTACCCCTTCAGCCACACGAGTAATGATTTGCATTTAATACAATCCCTCTCTCCCTCTCCCTCCTAAAGTTTATTTATATATTTTTGCGAGAATCTAACATGTCTATATTATTTCTATTTTTGGGTTCAACATATTGTAAAATACCGTAACCACCCATTTCTCTTACACAGCACAGAATTAGCATTCATTTTTTAATTAAAAATTTTAATCTTGCATGAAAATTAAAATCTCAAAAAGAAAAAAAAAGGGGGGGGGGGTATTGGGGGGCGCAAAACCGAGACAATTTTTGGACTGGACCTTGACTCATGATGATAGATGCTCACAATAGAAAAGACCTACGAGTAATAACCATTTCCTTTTTTTAAGTATAAGCCATTTTCAAAATTTTTTTAATGTAAAAAAAATCAAACTCTAAAGATAATGATTATGCTTGGCAAAAAAAAAAAAAAATTAATGATCATGCACCAACAATGGAAAATAAATACTGGAATGAAAACCATTTTCATCTTTAAACATCACAGTTCAAACCTTTTTTTTTTTTGTTTTTATTAAAAGTTTGGGATGAAGTTAGGCTTTCTCATAAAACAGACAGCAAATTAAAAAAAAAAAAAAAGATTACTTAGAATTTACGTGTCTCACTGTTAACAGCAGGACTTGAAAGTTTAACTTAAAATCACTATCTTTATGCTCCATCTTTCTCTTTCCATACTTGTTGAACTATACCGTTTAAGCAATGGCATTACTGTAATATAACAAAAGATGGAGCATAAAATGTCAGGAATCTTATCAAAGTGCGCAAATTATATGCAAAATATCAGAGCAGCGAACATATTTATCCACACACCAACTTTATTGAGCTTTGGTTAGGTCTATGGGAGCTTTTCATTGGTCCCAAGGTTCAAAAACGTCCAACGCCAGAATCTCCATTTCATTTGAATGGGAAATGAAAAACTTCTCCTCCGGATTCCACCCGCCATCCCCAGGCCAAGAAAGAAAAGAATACGAAAAAGAAAGCATAGGACAAGATAAAGAAAGCCAAGGAGATCATCAGGAGGAAAAACCAGCAACTCGTTGTGAGTGGGACTTTTCTCTCTCCACCGTTGTCTCTTCCAGCGCCAACGCTGCTGTCTCTGACACCCTAGGTGTTATCGAATTCGACCCTTCTAATGCTGTCGTAGCAACCGGAGGAATTGCAAGAAAGATTAGGATTTACACTTTGAATTCTTTGTTGCCACAAGACACCATCCAATTCCCAGGTGAGCAACACGTTGCCTTTCTAGACCATGTCAAAGCATGTAATTATTACGTCTGTACCCCAGCTAAGCTTAGTAGCCTTAGATGGAAACCCGGGTCTGGAGGCCGCCTCCTGGGATCGGGTGACTATGACGGTGTGGTCATGGAATATGATCTAGAGAGGAAGCTGCCAATCTTTGAACGTGATGAGCATGGTGGGAGAAGGGTTTGGAGCGTAGACTATTCCCATTGGAACCCGCTAGTCGGGGCATCCGGTTCAGACGATGGCACCATCCAAATGTGGGACCCACGCTGTGCCGAAGGAGGAGGATCTGTGGCCAAGGTACAGCCCACGATGGCACGTAGCTCAGTTTGTTGCGTTGAGTTCGACCCCTTCGGTGACGCATTGATAGCAGCTGGATGCGCTGACCGGAAGGCGTATACCTATGATGTACGGAAAATGGTGGACCCCGTACATGTGTTTGACGGACATGCGAAAACCGTGACATACGTTAGGTTTCTTGATGCCGAAACAATGGTTTCCGCTGGAACTGATGGGTGTTTAAAGCTGTGGAATATCAGTGATTCTCGTTTAATTAGAACATACCGAGGGCACGTGAATAGTCGAAGCTTTGTTGGGTTGTCAGTTTGGAGGCATGGTGGGTTGCTTGGATGTGGATCAGAAAATAACCAGGTGTTTGTTTATGATAAGAGATGGGGTGAGCCCATTTGGGTGCATGGGTTCGACCCAATGGCTAGAAGTGGGTGTGACCATGGTTTCGTCAGCAGCGTATGCTGGAGGCAAGTCCATGAAGACAAGTGCACACTTCTGGCAGGGGGTTCAAATGGGGTTTTACAGGTTTTTGTGGGCAGAAGGAAATCATAGGTCATCTTAAGAACATGATCTTCCTTTTTCCTAATTTAGCATATTACCGAATTGACAGTTTTTAACTTTTAATTTTAGCATATAAGCGATGAATTGCAGGGTTTTGCTTTAAGCAAAAATGATTGGAGAACAATGAAAGGAGGACCGAAAGATCTATGTTTCTGGTTTTTTTTTTTTTTTAAGATCTGCTGACTAACAGCTGTTCCATAAAAGTACAGATAATTTGATCTGACATCTTTGGCACTCAACTATGCGTTTTCTCGAGGCTAGAATTCTCATTCTCCCTGTTAGAAAACAAATTTATTGTTTCAATGATGTTCTTGCTTTTTTTTTTTTTCGGCTTAATTTCCTTTGGCATCATTGCTTGGCAATATTTCTACTTTTGGCATTATTGTTCAGAAATATTGCTAATTATGAACATTTCCGATGGCTCTATCTCTCCATTCAGATCATCTAATTGTTATAGCATCCAAGAAAATTGGTGAAAAGAAATAGAAATTTAAATTACAGATTAATTCACTTTAAAAATTGCATATCGAAGAGAGGATGTTCTTTTGATGAAGCTGTAGATATTAATTTTTTTTAATGGTTGCATTTAGTAGTGAAAGTTGATTGACTTATCATCGAATGCAAGAAGTTTACTTGGTTAAATTAATGGTGCAGATCAGTTGATCGTTTCTGGAGGTAAGGGTAGTGGAAATAGTATTTACTTGACGACTGGATTAGTGGATTGGATATTGTTCATTTAAAGATGTGTTGTTCATGACTGCTTTTCTTAGCAATGAACAAAAAAGGATTTGACTGACATCCAACAGATCAATTAGTTAGTGGCTTATAGAGTTTTGAAGACGGCTTTTGAATGCAAATGATAATTTAATTCGGCTATTGGACTGAGTAATGGGTATGGTTTTGGAACATGGCAAAGAAGACAAACTGATTTGGGAGAAGGATTAAGTAGTCATTTCCTGATTAAAAATTGCAGCAGCTAATTTCTGTCATCTTTTAATGGCCTCTGATCTGATCAACAAATGCCAATTTAATGGGGGTGCTTTCTTGTTCGAGTACTATCAGCTACCTGAGAGACAATTTTGGTGTGTGGTGTTGCAGCCATATGATCATGTGTTTTTCATAGAGAGGTGGTGCTAGTGATTAACATTTAATCTTTATGTTATCCTCTAAGCGGTATTTTATCAGTTTGTTTTGAATTTGCATAGAATTGTTTTTTTTAATATCTTTTTACTAGTTTTGTTTAATTAATAAATTCTATTGACTTAAATAAAATTCACTTCAAACTTTTTTTTCTCTAGCGGTAATTAAATGCGAATAAGGTAGTATTTGAAATGCGTCTAAGCTATCACTTTAATTATGATAATTTATATAATACTTATGGTGATTAAAATATTATGTTTGACAAACACTTAACGAGCTGGTAATCTAGGATTATAAAAATGATAAGATTACTGTCTTAGATGGTATCTATTTCTCATCCAAAATAGTAAAAAACTTTATCATTGAAGTGAAATGATACATAAAATTAACAATAGTTAAAATTTTCATTTAATATATGAATTAAAAACTTGTTTCCTCTTAATATTATAATTATTTTATATTATAAATTTTTATATTTTAAAATTAATGTTCATCGTAATAAGTTTAAAAATAATTTGTTTTTTTTAATATTTTCTATATAATATAATTTTTTGTTTTTCTTTTACCATGAACTTAATAAATTAGTTTTATTTTCTAATTCAAATATTTTTTACATAATTTATATTATAAAAATAATTTACCTATTAATAAATATATTTATTAATTTAATAATTTAATTATATTTTATTATAAATAAATAAAATATTATTAATATTTTATAAATTATTATCTTTAAATAACATTAAAATTATTAATTTGTGCAACTATAGAATATGCATCATTATTTTTATATTTAAATAAAATAATATTTTATTTTTAGTAATACCAAACACCATAATCTTTAATTACTAAATATTAATGATTATTAACCAAATAAAATGATTTTAAATCATAAGTAATAAGACCACCTTAACAATAAAATTATCTCGTTACCATGATAATTTTACAAATGATACCAAATGCTACCTAAAAGAAGATAATAATCTTTTATTGTTGGCCTAACATAAATTTTTTACTTTAACAAATAAAATGTGATAAAAATTCTAATATATTAATTTTATTGATTTTGGAAGAAGGTTGGGCATCCACGTGTCACCAATCTTTTCCTCCAAAATTTTTTTATTACTTTATTATTTATTATTTATACATTTTTATTAGATAAGTTTTGTGAAAAAAAAAATTGAAGTATGAATAATAAAACAATTTGTATCCCATTTGTTTTGATCTACACTGTTTCAACATAGGCGCCTTTTAAAAATATGGATATCGGATAAATTTTTTTTTGAAAATTTGGTTGGATCGATTATGGGTTTAAGGTGTTTCATCCCATGTCACCTCCTTCCTTTTGTCTTTTTTTTTTTTTTTAATTTTTGAATTTTTTAAAATTTTTTATTAGTTAAATTTTGTAATAAAAAAGTCGATGGAGATAAAAATTATAAAATAATTTATATCCCATAGGTTTCCATTCACACCTATCCAATTGGTACATATATATATACTTTTAATTCTAGATAATTAGATTGAGTTTTTTAAATGGAACTTGGATAAGACTAAGATTTGAGATGATATGCCTTAGCCTTGGTATATATAAAAATATAGATATAGTTATTATTTCTTTAATTTTATATATGTATTTTATTAAAAAAATTTTATTTAATATCTTCATTTAATAAATTCATATGCCATCTCATTTGATTTCTTTTCTTTTGTCATTTTCTTTGCTTTTAAATTTTTTTTATTACATAAATTTTGTAAAAAAAAAATGTAAGGATGATAAAATAATTTATATCTGATTGACGTTGATTCATTATGATCTAATTGGTACAATTTTTCTTTCTAAAAATAAAAATTTTGTCAAGTTTTGTTTTTTTAAACAATTTAAATTAAATCAAAATTAAATTTGCGATGCTTTGTTCAATCGTTTTTGGGATATATAAAAAAATATGTTTTATTATTTATATTTATATATTATATTAATGAAAATATTATTTAACACTTTAATTTAATAAAAAAATAATATTTATATATAATTAAGTTATAATTTTATATTGAAAATAAATTAACATCCATACAATTAATATTAAAAAATAAATCATCATTCATAGAATTAAATTTTAGGGCTCAACTTTTTTTAAGAAGTTAATTTCTTTTATTATTTAACGAAGTGATGTAATGGTGGTAGGTGTCCTGTACATTTTCTCTTTTGGTTTTTTAAATTTTTATTTTATTTTTTCCATTTCTTTTATTTCTTTTTATCCTTTTTTTTTTTGTTTTATACATTTTTTATTTCTTTTCAATTTTTTCTTTTAAAAATTTTTTAATTTCTTTTATTTTTTAATGTAATCTTGTGATTGTGGTAGGTGTTCAATACACTTTCTTTTTTCACTTTATTTTTCTTTTCTTTTTTTTTTTTCGTCTTTTATTTTATTTTATTTTTTTTTCAAATTTCTTTTCTCTATCATTTTTTTTCTGCATGCAACTCTCTTTTTTTTAACTTCATTTTCTATCATCTTCCTTTTTGAACACCTTCATTCTCTCACACCTCTCTGAAAAAAAATTGATGAAATAATCATGCTGGTGAAACGGAAGATAATCTGCTAAGGTCGAGGTCCAAGGAGAATATGCACTTATAGTGTTTGCATTTAATAAATATTTTTATTATTTATTTTAAAAAATACTTATATTTATCTATACGTTGTCATGCATTAAATTTAGATACAAAAATTTTACTTCTCTCATATTTAAAGCATAATTTAAAAAAACAAAAAATAATACAGCAGTGATACGTAAGTCTAATTTTAATTATAATAAATATTACATATTTTTGGGTAAAACATAAACGGAGAGCCGATGGATTCATGTTTTCGGTTGCATGAATTTGTGAAGGAGAGAAAATGATTTGCATGGACCGGTAGACTGCAGTGAAGTCCACCATCAGCAGTAATCCACTCAATTAAACTTTTTTTTTTTTTTTTGCTGTAGAAGCATAATAATGATCTGATTTGTTCAATCGTAGGTGAGGATGGAAGATTGGAATTGGATTGATTTCATGTAAACAAATATCACTTTTGTTCACCTGTTATATTCATCTAAGTTTCATTTATTTTAAAATATTAATGCTGAACTCACAAACATTTTACATCCATATTGCCTAATCTGAAGGGAACCTTTGGTTTGGAAAATCTTACATTATCTTTGGTAATATTATTTTTAGTAATGGGATTTTTCCTATAAAATTTTCAAGACACATTCCTAGTAATATGTCATACATGTGATTGGTTTAGTTGATATGTATAAAAGATTTAAGTTTGGTTTATCAAGAATATAAGATTCTTTATATTCTTAAGTTTTGAGATTTATTACTCTTTTTGTTTGAAGAAGTGATACAGAATTAGATTTTTTTTCTTTTTTGCCAATCACTAAAAGGTGTTGGATATATTTTATACTTTAGTTTATAAATTGTAATGACATTGTGTTCACATAAAACTTTTCATGAACAAAATAATAAAAAAGTGTTTCAAGAAATATTTTGGTTATTTACTTAGTTAATTATAAATATAAAACATTTATACACACGTATTTTATCAAATAAACTAATAGTGAAATTTTTTTAATTTTATAAGCAGGGTTAATAGAACAACATATATTTCTTATGGGGCATTCGTTATATCACTTCCCGGAATCTTGCTTTTGGTAATTTGATTCTCATATTTGGTTATGATATTTGATTCCTAGAGGTTTTTTTAAGATTTTCAATAATATCCAAATAGCTCGAAATTAGAAATCAATATTTCCTTGCGATTTTTTAAGATTCCAGGGAGAAAGTTAATTTTGTCTCATTTTTTACCTCA